TTTGCGTGGGAAAACCCATGACCGCCCTCACCTTCTCATCGGACGGGCGCTCGATGCCGTCCTCTAGGATGAGGCCCAGGTATTCCACGCGACGCTGCATGAGCATGCATTTTTTCCAATTTATAATTAGCCCGCTATGGGCCGCTACGTCCAATATCTCTTCCAGCCGGTCTATCTCGCTGGGTACATCCGCCGAGGGTATAATCAAATCGTCTCGGTATGTCATCACCGTACGCTTGTTTATTAACTCTCTGAACACGGCGCTTTGAAACGTCGCCGGGGAGTTAGACAGTCCGAAGGCGACTTCTAGGAATTCGTATTGTCCATCCGGGACGATGAATGGGGTGTACTTCCGGCTATCCTTGACGATGGCCACATGGAAAGTTCCGTTTTGCAGGTCTGGCGTGCTAAACACGGTCGCGCTTTGGAGCGAGTCGAGTTGATCCTCAATAAAGGGAAAAGGGTACCTGTCCTTCACCATCTTCGCATTTAACCTCCGATAATCTACGCATAGCCGTTTCGTGCCACCTTTCTTTTTTACCAAGACTACCGGGCTCGCGTATTCCAACAGGGAAGGCTGCGCGATGCCATTCCTTACCCATTCGTCTGCTTGCCGGTTGACCCCTTCCCTGTCCACGGAGGGCAGTCGTCGCGCGCGATCGTACACGGGCTGACTGTCTTTCAATACAATTGACACTTTTAGGTCCAACTCACGGGTTTTCGCCGGTTTATATTCCTCGACCATCCTTCGTACTCTGTCGAGAAGGTCGCGATTAGCTATATGCGAGAGATCAGTCTCGTCCGCTTCGCAGAAGAGGACTCGAAACACCTCCGGCACCTCGCTGCAGAGCTCGTCGGTCCCGTCCCGTAACCTCTCGATAGAGACGTTCCCGTTCCTAACCGCTAGGTGGTAAATCTACAGAAACTCCCTACCCACAATTAGTTCGTAGGGTATGAGCTGATTCGAAACTACATGCAAGGTAATCGAGTACGTGTCACCGCTTACACTAATCTCTGTGCGCAACTGCCCTATGGTTTTGTTCGTGGGGGACCCGATACCGTGAAACCTTACCCTCTTGCCCTCTAGCCGCGGAGCGCATATACGGGCGTACGCCTCAGCGCGTATTAGACTAAGCTCGTTACCGGTATCAACGAGTGCTGTTACTTGCTCTTCCTCTACAGTGGCTATGCATAGACATGAGTTCTCTTCTGCTCGAAGGACAGTGTAGCTCCTCTTTGCAGGACTTCTCTGTGGGCACGCTGTAGAGTTATGCCCTAGCTTCCAGCACCCGAAGCATCGCTCGCTCTTCCTTGCGGGGCATTCGGACGTTCGGCGGTTCCCTGCTTCGTAGCCACGATGTTCTGCCTGTGGATGCCTATGCGGAGGAGCCGCTTTACCCCTGGCTTCGTTCGGTTTATCGTTGTCCGGCCCAGTCCTTCCACCAATGACGTCGTTTTTGCCGCGCCACGGCACCCTTTCGAATGCGCCCTGGAGGTCCGTCTGCGTGCGAACCTTGTGCATATGGGCCTCATCCTGGAGGGATTGGTTAGGGATTCCCTCAATGATGTATTCTATCAGATCTCCTTCATCGTCCACCGGCATGCTGTTCGTCAGGATTATTTTGTCGTGAAAATAGCCACAAAATGTTTCGCCTCTTCTCCATGATCGCTCTTCGAACTGCCTTCTCCGTACGAGCTTGCCCGGTTAACAATAGAACATTCCCCGTAGCTCCCCGCGGAAGCCATCGATCATCGTGTCCATGAGATAGGGCTTTGAATGATACCATTCCAGGGCCCTACCTCAGAGACGAGACACGACTAAGATCTTGCATGACTCCGATGACAGCCTGTATGTGCTCTGGAGTGGACGTACCTGCCTCTCCCAATGGTCGTACCGATTACCAGTTCCGTCGAAATGTTCCACTATTTCGGCGAACGTGATGCTGGCATTCGTCGCCACTGATTCTCCGCTGCTGACAGACTGTGATGACGCTGGCTGTGGGGACTGCGCTGACGGTGACGACGCTGGCTGTGATGACTGCGCTGTCAAACACTGCGATTGTGCAACTGCTGCTCCGATCTGCGGCACTGCAGCTTCTAACGCCTTCGTTAGAGCTTCTAACATCGACTTCCGAAAATTTTCCATTTCCCCAAAACATGGATTACAGCTCCACGCGCTCTCTCCTGTCTCAAGCTTGTCCTGGGTTTGCTGGTTGTCCATCGCTTACATTAACCGGGTCGCCAGTTCTATCTTCCTTCCCGTTGTACGAAGTCCGCGCGATCGAGTTCTTCTTTCAGTAATATCACCGATAATTTACGCAGATATTCTACGCTCAATGGCATTACCGTCGCTTTATTTCAAGTAATTCCCACTTGCTGCCTTTATCCCGGCTGAGCCCCCAATTTATGTATGAATTATTTATTAGGCAACGAAAGGACGGTGGTAGATAATAAAACTTTTATTTACATGCTGTAACCTTTCACACTAAATCTCACCGGACTCTCTTTTCGAACTGTTCGTTTCTCGCCCATGCACCCGTATAAATCATTTGCATCCGGGCGTGGAATATTCCGCGAGCCCGCGACTGTCTACTATTCGTAAAGTCGGAATATTCCATAATAGCGGAAAGTTCCTTAAAATTGTGCATGGGATATTCCACGCTAACCATTCCTACATATATATATGAACAGTTTAGAAATGCTATGAAATTTACATGAGCATTGTGGATAGATTAATCCAATTGCTATAGTACTCAATAGGTGTCTATACTCAATATCAATTGTTAGTATCTCCAGCCATAATTGATCTGTCCATTGATCGTTCTGGTATTGCAAAAGAATTTAATTTTCAGTGAATAGAATAAGCCAAAGTATATATATCTTTGTGGGTGGCAATCGTAGTGCGTAGATAGTTATCCTCATTGCTTTATTGTCAATTGCTGATAGCTGTAGCCATAATTAATCTATCCACTGATTTTTCTGCAGTTGCTATAGAATTTAATGGTCAGTGAATAAAATATTCCAATTTCTATTGTTTGGAGTAGGTGGATATACTAAGTACTAATATACAAATTTTCAGTTGTTAGTATTTTTAGCTATAATTGGTCTATTCATTGATCATTCTGTAATTGCTAAAGAACCTAGATTAGCAGCAAATGGATTAATTCGATGGCAATAGTACACAATAGATGGATGTACTCACTACTGTATTGTCAATAATTAATATCTCCAGCGGACATTGGCCTACCTATTGATCATTCTAGAACTGGAGTAGTATTTAAATGATGAGTGGATAGATCAATACAATGGCTATAGTAATCTGTAGTCGGCTGTACTCTGCATTGCATTCTCAAATGTAAATATTTCTAGCGACAATTGATCAATCCGTCGATAATTCTAAAATTGCTGTGCAATTTATACGATCAGTGAGACGATTAACTATTTCTCTATAATATTGTGTTAGTGGATATACCCTGCACTGTGTTGTCATTTTTCAATATCACAAGCGATAAATGATATATCCATTGATCATTCTGGAATTGCTATGGCATAAAAATGATCAATGTGTGGATTAATTAAATGGTTATCGAACTGCGTAGATAGCTATACTGAGCACTGTACTTTCCAAACTCAATTACTCTGTCGATAATTGCTCAATTCTTTGATAATTCTAAAATTGCTATGGAATATACATGATCGGTTAATAGATTAATACAATGGCTATAGTAGTATGTAGATGGGTACTTCCAGCACTGTATTCTCAATTGCAAGTACCTAAAGCGATAATTGATGTGTCCTCTGATAATTCTTGAATTGCTACAGAACATGAATGATCAGTAGGTAGATTAATCCAATAGTTATAGTACTGATTGGATGAATAAACTTAGTACTGAGTTGTTTATATCTGTAGCCATAATACATCTATTCATTGATTATTCTGCAATTTCTATAGTATCTAATAATCAATGAATAGATTAATACCATGGCAATGATGCTATTCGTTTGTATTTTGCGGCTAATTGTAGTCTGCTGCGGTCTGCTGCACATTACTGCACACTGCAATGCTCCGCTCAGGTTAGGTTATGGAAAGTAGTGCTTATATGGTTAGGTCAGCTTAGGATAGGACAGCAGTCTGCGTTATTCACTGCTATACGGTGGTATTCGTCGTTTCGATATACACTGCTGGTTTCTGTTGAGTTACGCTTCGCTCGGATATGCTCTACTGTGGTAAGGTTAGGATATGCAACGATGGTTATTTTTAAGACAAGAATCTGTGCAATTACCTGCCACCAGTGGTATTCGGCGCTTTACTGTGCTATGTTACGCTCTGCTGTCCTCTCCTGCACTATACCGTGCTCTACTATCGATAGGTAAGGTTAGGTTAGCTTGGGTTAGGAATCCGTGCTTTCGCTGGTATTCTGTGGTATTTGGCGCATATCTATGCTCTCCTCCTATCTGCTGCGCTCTCCGGTGTTCTGCTGACCCCTGCTGTAGTTAAGTTAGGGGAAGTAGTATACGGTAGGGTAGGGCATGACAGGCTTGGATTAGTTAGGTTAGCTTGGGTTTCGAATCCGTATTTTTCGCTGCAATTCTATGAGTTTTGCGCTTTACTGAGCCCTGCTGCGCTTTCCAGCGCTCTGCCTTCCTCTTCTGCCATTAGATTATATGCGCCAGGGTAGGATACATTTGGTTAGGTTACCGCTATTTGTATCGGTGCTGTTCGAAGCAGTGCTAGCCTGCTGTAATCGATCTTATCCGGTGACATGCGGTGCTCTGCTGTGCTCAATTGCGCTTTCCTGCGCTCTGCTGTGCCCTGCCGTAGTTACATAAGGTAACGTGGGGTAGGTTAGGATGGGTTATATTGGGTTAAGTTAGGTGAGGAGTCTGCGTTATTCGCTGCTGTTCGTTTGTATTCGGCGCTTCACTGCTCTCTGCTCATCCGTGCTGCCCTCTGCGGCTCTCTGCTGCAGTCTGCAGTATCGGTCTTGCTAATTAGTGCTATGCTTACCCTATATAATGCTAAGTTGTACTATACCGACCTATTTAGCGATCAACAGAACTCTGCTACAATCTGCGACCCCCTGATGTGCACTACTATGGCGGCGTTGCTACTTGATGCGGTACAGACAGTAAGTAGGGCGGAACTGCCCTAACTTACTTTTCGTTTGTTTCTTCTGAACTCAGCTGCGCTCTGCTGCCCTCTGCGGCGGTCTGCTCTGATCTGCTATTCTGTGCTGTGGAGGCGTTGATGTTTGGTGCGTAGCTGTCCCTAAGTCATGCTAATTTGTACTAGTCTCTTCTATTCGGCGATCTACAGATATCTGCAGTGCTCTGCGATACGCAAGCAACGCTCTGTTATGCTCTGTTGTAGCGGCATTTGTCTCCCAATATAGTGCTAGTCTGTGCTATGCTGCTCTGCACTGCCCTCCTCTCGCGGGGTTGCTCCCTGTTTCTATGCTGCCCCTAAAGAGAGTTACACGGAGCTGTTCGTTGCTTTTCGGTTATCTGCTGTCCTCTGCTACGCTTTGCGGCCCCCTGCTGTGGGTTGCTATGGCGCTGTTGCTATTTGCTTCATCGCTACACCTATATATTGCTTATCTCTGCTACTCGATGATATTCGGCGATCAGCATGGCTCTGCTGTGATACTCTATGCCCTGGTGCACTCTGCTGTACGCTTCTTTTGTTAGGTTGGGTACGTTTTAGTAGGAAACGTTTGCCTAGGTTAGGTTAGGACAGATTAGGAATCTATACTATTCGCTGCTATTCGATTGTGTTCGGAATTTTACGGAGCTCTGCAGACCTATGCTGCGCTCTGATGCGCACTGCTGTGGCTAGGTTAGGGAATGTGAAGTACATTATATTTCGTAATGTAATGTTAGGTTTGGTTAGATTAGGTTATATTGGTTTAGGTTCGGATAGGTATCTGTGCTATCTGCTGCTTTCGTCGGTACTCGGCGCTTTGTTGTGATCTGATAATGTGTGTCACACCCAGCTGCACCATGTTGTGGTTGCGATAGGTATGATAGGTCAGAGTAGGTTAAGTGTGGTTAGGTTCGGATGGAGTAGGAATCGGTGCTACTCGCTGCTGTTCGCTGGTATTCGGCGCTTTGCTGCGATCTGCTGAATTCTCCTACGCTCTGTAGTGCTCCGTTGTGGTTAGGTTAGTTATGGCATGGTAGGTGATGTTTAGTAAGTGTATGTTATGTTTTGTTAGGTTAGGTTACGATACTAAACTGTGCAATTAGCTGTTACTTTGACGCATTCGGCGCTTTATTGACTCTGCAGCGCCTTCCTGCGCTCTGCTGTGCCCAGCTGTGGTTAGTTTAGATTATGCTAACTAATGAATTTTTGCTATTCACAGCTGTCCGTCGGTGTTCGGCACATTGCTGGGCCACACTGTGCTCTCCTGCTCCCTGCCCGTGCGCCCTACTGCTATCAGCTACACTCTGCTGCGCTCTGCTTTGTTTGCGGTTGTATCCAATGCGGTGCCGGGCACGGAAGTGCTTTGCTGTGGTGACTGCTGCTATTCAGTATTCGGCTTCGCTCTACTACGCTCTGCAGCGACCTGCTGTAGTGGTAGAAAATAAAAATTTGATGCGTGTATAATCGATGTTCTCTCTTTCCTTCCAGACGCTCCATCCAATCCAGATAAAACTTGCGGGCGGCGAGAACGGAAACAATGAGCAAAAATTCAATAGCTCATTCCGTAGGAACACCGAGCCCTGCACCATGCACTTCCCTTTCCTTTTCTTCAATATGAATACGTCTGTTAGCGTGTAATTGCAGATTTTGTACTGTGAATTTCATTGTTATGTCAGTTTCTAGCTTCTTCTACGACGCGCAATAGGAAATGAAAAATGGGAAAGGGAAGGATAGGACTTTATATTAAAATTGTGTCAGGAATGGAAGATACTTAATACAAAGTTTCGTCAAACTGTTGGTAACAATTCATTTCATACGAAGATCAAGGAAAATTGCTTTAAAAATATTTCTTTAGGGGTAGATAGGGAGATTAGGGTAATTATATAAAGAAAAAGTGGACATACAATTAACAAAAGGAGCACAATTACTCAATGAAGATATTAGTAACTATTATAATCGTCATTAGCCGAGTATATCGCCAATGATAATAGTGGTTAATATAATTGATAATATGTATTGTATTAACCGATTGGCAGATTTCAATCATCTTCGTGATTAAATTGATTCCAAAATTCGACAGTATCTATTTCGCCAGATATCAAAATTTTAATCATATTTTTCAAGCAGCATATGCGTAGTATAATTCAAAATATGTCATAAATCTTTTATACTCCTGCGGTTTGCAAACATGACGAGGTTAGTTTGCGGAATTAGGTGACCCCGTTAATTAACACAACTGTCTTAATGCAATTACGTAATACTTACATTATACATCCTCAATAGCCGAAACACTACAAACGCTCAAACTCATCGCTAACTGCATCCCTCCTTTCAAGCTCAACCCTTCCCATTCAACTACAGCTAAGCAAGTACACTATTCAGCATTGCATTCGATTCTGGAGAACAAGAATCCATAGTCCTCAAACCTGATAATCCTACGAAAAATAGTGTTGGAAGTAGTGAATGGGCAGAGAGATGGAGGACGCACACATCTTTCTCTTTTCATCATTGCAACTTCCCTTCAGCCTCGTCTTCTAGCCTCCATTTTCATCGCCCCCTTTTCTGAAACAGCTCGTCGTTCCGATATGCGTTGCTCCTCGAGACTCGATTATATCCCCTTTGCCTTTACTATATCCACAACCCCTCAATTCAGCAAATCTATAAGTACTTAATGGACAAGTTTTGAGCTAAATTCTCCATAGTTACCATTACTTTCATTCTTTATTGGCTTCATACCTATAATTATGTAATTTGTTGTGTCTGAGATGAGTATTTAAATGTAGGTATACGATTGAATTAAGGCAAATTTTATTTTGTATTTTCCCCTATAAGTAGTATTTAATTTTACTTCAATTTATACGTACACAGTGGTCAGAAAGACGTGGATTTAACATTTTGAAAAAATATATTTTCGTAGAATAGAAAGATTTAGTTAATGCTTTGGAATGATATTTCTGTGTATTAAGTTAATCAATGTATAAGTTGACATAGACAATAATTTAGATGTTTTTCAACGTGAAGTGGATAACGTGGATTAGCATTCTAAAATATGGTATGTAGGTTTGTATGAAATATTGAGGACTATGAAAATTCATTATGTAAAAATGAACATAAGCAAGTGGTTATATTTAAAATTTCATAGAATAGTGTATTTTTCTGTTTCTTACATTAGATCGAAATTTTGTAGTAATATCCTAATTAATTCCGAGGTGATAATTTGGATTTAGCCTAAATTATATACATCGGTAAAATTCAACTTACAAGCAGTTTTATTGGGTACTTGCAATAGTATGCAATAAGTGTACATATCTTCCTTTATAATCTATTTTCAATAATTTGTCAATATTGCATTTCTCCTTATTTCAGTCCTTAATTCAACATACCTGTCTCCTTAACCTCGCTCCGGAATCGATTGATTTCACATCGTACTCTACAAATATTAAATTATCAAGCAAAATTTAAGGACGATAATTTCTTTCAATATATACAAGAGTAGAGAATAAAAACGAAATGTCATTACTGCAACGAATTTCATATACAACCACAAATCTTCGGTAAATGATCGTCCACGGCCACGTGTATCCAAATTCAGCCACAAAATTTTTGAAAACGACATAAGCTCAAAGAACAGATCTGTGACACACGAATTACGCGAGGAAATTGAATGAAAAATAATTCTGGAACAAAGAGACGATCGCGGTGCAGAAATTCGTGCAATGGAAATTTGGCAATAGTATTAGAGGCGGGGTGGGCAAAATAAATGGTGGTGCACGGTGGATCGGCGTTGAGGACGAAAAACGAATGCTAATGAAGTATTCACGGCACCCATCACGTGTTATTGTCCATATAAGCCCAGCTGGACCAGGATTGGTCCATCCTTTTTGGTCTCATTCTTTCGATACCCTGTGTATGTATGCGGGTGTGTGATATTTTTCTCCTTCTTTGCAACCTCTTCCAATCTTTTTAGTCCTCCCTTTCTCTCTCTGTTTTTCCCTTCGCAACCACATGGCTATAACAGATGCACGTGACAGGGAATCGGCAGAAAGAATCACGAGAATCGATGTGCGCATGCAAACTCGTGAAAGGATCGAATGTTCCTTGCGTCTTCTTTTGCAAGGATTTTATAATACGTAGGCGTTAATGCGAATTTGGTTACGAAACGCGTGTGAGTGCTACAGGTAAATATGAAAATGTGAAAAATTATTTCTGTCTCCATTTTAAATAGTCATTTAAGTAGATATTTTGAGAACATTTTATAGGAATGGAAATTGGATATAGTACTGGAATTACTATAGTATAAATTATTTAGACTAGATTTTGTATTTTAAGACAGGAATGATTGGTAGAATTAGTATGGTGCGTATAGTACATATATTTGTACATAAAATTCAGAATGATATTCCGGTAACAGGAGGAATGAAATGATAAATGATGTGAAAATGATAATATTGCATATTATGTATTTAAAATCTTTTATTACGTGCTTCAAATGTATTATAAGTAAACGCAGTGTCACGTTAATAATATTATATTACGTATAATGTTTCGTAAGATTTTTGTTATACTGGGGTAAATGCTAGATCAATGACATCTGTAGTTAATCCACAACAGAGGTCTAGAAATCAAATTTATATCTAGCGATGTGGCATTAGGTGAATTAATTAACAGTGGGTAGTAGTAATTAAGAAGAATATTCTCTGCAATTCATATTCTACATACCATCAGTCAATAACACGAGGGACTGCTTCTAAAGGTAGATAATTATTTTCCTTAGGAAGACAGGAAACATATTCTATGATACAAATTAAAATTCGCTTCAAATAAAATAAATTGTATGTGTTGAAAATAAAATTTTTAGTCCCTTTAGTACCGTTGGGGATGATTAAAAATCTCTTAACAATACTCTAGCAGATCTCGAAATAAACAAATCCTTAATGTACGTTAAAAATTATAATTATTCTGATTAATAGTGGCATAGAGACAAAG